TTTAGGAACTAGAGGAAAGTTGTATTTCTCATCATTGTTACATCGCACCCTGACTGGCTCATCTCCTCCCCAAGACCCCTCTGCAAGGGTATCTCCAGTGGCCTACTAATGGGCTTTGGATCTCCACTCCGCACTCCCCCCATCATTCACTATGGTAAGATTTTTCAGGATTCCTTTTCTTAAAGGTACCTGGACCACTGCTATTCAGACTCACAGTGAGCCTATATATATAGGCCAGAGTAGAACGGCTCCACAGGGTTGTTGAGACTGTAAGTCTCCACAAAAGCAGGTTAGCACCCATTCTCCCTCGGATCAGATGATGGGTTTGAACCTCTGACCTTGTGGTTAGCAACCCAACGCCTAAGCCACTGCACCACCCGGGGTGACTCGGAGGAGCTGCCAGTTTCACTCGTTTTCTCTATGACCTCCATGTATCAGCCCTAGTGACGTAGTGATTCCACATTGGGCTGCTCACCGCAAGGTCAGTAGTTCGAAACCACCAGCAGCTCCACAGAGGAGCCTTTCTACTGTAAAGAGTTACAGCGTTGGAAACCCACAGGGACTGTTCTCCCCTGACCCATAGGGTTGTCGGAATGGATTTTTGGTGCGGGGGGACCCTGAACTTTTTTTTGCTTGGGGGCTGCAAAGCTGGCTCTGATGCCGAGGTGCCTGGTGGAAAATTCTCCCATCTGGCATTCTAATTCCCTGTCTGTCTTTGTCTCTCATGTCTCATCTTTTAAAAGCCATCCATGCCGTGTAAGACAGTTCTTCCCATCCCCAGACAGGCACTGCCAGCCCACGGAAAACCCCATTTAGCATGGCAATCACGCCTCTGAGCTCCCTTGCTAGCCTTTGGAGGGTTTCAGAGTCCGGCCCCCCGGGGAGCTAATGTGTGACTTTGGAAAGGGCTTTCAAACGTGTGGCCATGGGCTTTCGGCAACGAGAGTAGGCATGATCCATCGGCCCTGGGAGGTGAGGCCACACATTTTCATGAAAAGGTGAACCTGAGGTGAACTTAAAAAATGTGTTGGTGGGGGTGCCTAATTGTGGTAGGAAGTGCGGTGTGCCAGTCCCCCCACCACTAATGCCGGGTTCAGTAGGCACAATTGTATGGTTGAGATATATAAAAATTATATTAAAGACATCAAGTGCATGAGAGATAAGAGATATTAAAATAATGGCGTCAGACACATTGCATGGTAGCAATGATCACCTCAGCCCCGTTTGGTGGTCCACGCGGAGAGAGGGGGAAGGAAAGGAGGACAAGGGGAAAGGGAAACAGGGGAGGAGAGGGGGCCCAGGAGAGGTCAAGGGAGGAGTCCAGAGAGAGTGAGGGAGGGAGCCCTCTATTGCTAACCCAGGCCTATATAACTTTGGGGATGTGCAAGCCCACTAATTACAGGTACAGGAAGGGGTTGCACTATAGGTAATACAGCAATGAGAGGGGGCCAATCCAGGGATACAGGTGACAAGATGGGCGGATCCTAGATTCACTGAGCGGGTTTGATCTGTTCTCTGGATCTGCACAAGAACCATTATCAGTAGGGTGTAAACCCCACCTATAGGAACCAGAGCAATGACGGCTTGCCTGTCCATTGTCCTTAACAGCAGGGAGCAGGGCCTACAGTAGTCTGGTGACTGACAGTCTTCAGGGAGGATGTCTGTGAGCATCTGACCTCCCCCCACACCTAATGTAAAATCTCCAATAACTCCAATTTCTTTTGTTTGCTTCCCCTGGGCCCCCACCCCTCCACAAATCCTTTTGTTAGTCCTCTCTGTAATCTGAGAAGTGAGGGGAAGCCTTCTCTTTCAGAACCCTCTCTTCTCCCAGAGACCAGTGGCAATCCTTTGATCTCTATGCGAAGAAGAACATGAAGGGGGGGCCAATGGCGTCCCGTTTGAGTCCCTGCTTTGAAGCCCTGGGACCAAGGACAGTCCAGTCAGTTGGGGTCTCTGGCATGGCCGTGTTATTGCTGACTCCTGAACAACCAGGCCCTGCAGGGCCCCTGTCCTCGCACCTTGCAACGCTAGGAAAGTATTGGTGGGAGGAACTGCTTCCGGAGTGGGGAGATTGACAGCTAAGGGCCCTGACTGCATTCATTCCCCCCCCAAACCCCCCCTCCCCCCCAGGATTTACCCAGAGTTCACTTGGAGGAAAGGCTTGGCAACCGGTTTCCAAAAGGTCACAGCCGAGGAACCCCCTCCCCTGGCCTGCAGTTCTAGTCGGGCACAGGTGGGGGCGCCGTGAGCTCAGATGGGTTGGATGACACCTGGCTTGGTTGATAACATGGCATCCGGGATCTGGTCTGTCTTCAGTTCTTCGTTTTTTCACCAACAGTTTTATTTCCTTATAATTCACATATCATACAATGCCATAGTTCAACCACCTCACCTTCAGTTTTGACCTTATGTGAACTGATAGCTACCAGGCCACGCCAGAAGCAGGGGATAGTACTTTGGTCTAGGGGTCGGGAGATGGCGGTGTGAGCTTTCCTGGGTCAATGAACCTCTCTGGGCCTCAGATTTGTCTGCCTCTGTCAATGGAAAAACTTACACTAGCTCATTGCTAGTGCTTCATGACACGTTAGGGAGCTACAGGATACTATCAATGGAGTTTCTGCAAGAGACCCGTCCCCGGAGAAGGACGTCGTGCATGGTAACGTGGAGGGGCAGCAAACAAGAAGGCAGCCCACGAGGACATGGATGGACACAGTGGCTGCAACAGCAGTCTCAGGCATAGGGGCCATTGTGAGGGTGGCACAGGGCTGGACAGTGTTTTGTTATTGTGTGCACAGGGTCGCTATGGGTCAGAACCCACTTGGTGGCAATGAGTTTGGCTTTCTTGGTTAATGGTCAAATAAGATGCCCCAGGAGTGCAATGGGTTATGCTTTGGAATGTGCAGGGTACCTGGTTCGAACCCACCAGCCACTGTGAGAGAGAAAACCAAGTCTTTCTGCTCCGGCAAAGATTTATAATCGTCAAGATGGATTAAAAACCTAAATAGAACCTTAGCACTATAAAGGCCTTCAGTGAAAAAATAGTGACAAAGTATAATAACAAAATATCCCTAATAACAAAGACAAACAAACAAACAAACAAACTCACTGTCATGGAGTCCATGCTGATTCGTAGCAACCCGATAGGACAGGGAACTGCCTCTGAGCCTGTAACTGTTTAAGGGAGTAG